GGGAAGGGAGAGGAAGGGAGGGGAAGGGAGAGGAAGGGAGGGGAAGGGAGAGGAAAGGAAGGGTAGGGAAGGGAGAGGAAGGGAAGGGAAGGGAAGGGAGAGGAAGAGAAGGAAGGGAAGGGTAGGGAAGGAAGGGAAGGGAAGACCGATGGTTTTCCATTTTTCATTGTTCAAGACTAAGTATTTTATCTTTACTAAGTTGTGGTTCTATTTAACACAATTACACTGGTGGTGAAGGGAGAGAGTTGATTTTCTAAAGTCTAAATATCTATAGCTTTGTTCACAGTTGTAGGAGTATCTCATTTTTTGTGCAAGAGGCATTATTCTGGGGAGTTTTAAATCACATTTTGATGAAGAGTAAAATAATATTTACCAGCACCAGTGTGCTTATTCTTTAGAGAAATTCTATAGCCAATTCTCTGGTAAGGAAAGGAATTATTTTTTTGCAGAGTGAATAATCATCCCTGGGTTGATAAATTATAGACTGCTAGAACCTCAGGGTATCTTTGTAAGTGTCTAGTTCAACGTCCTCCCTTTCCAATTAGGATATTAAGAAACATATTAGTTGAGTGGTTTACCCAAGGCCCTATAATTAGTCACTGAGTTGGGCTTAAATCTCCCTTAATTTTGGTCTAATCATATCCTCTGTATTTTGCTGGTTGGATTTGCTTAAAAGTAACTCAGCTTTTCGAATTCTAGAAGCCTCAAATATATGTGTGGTGAGAAAGAGGATGCCAATTTCTAGAAAATACAATGAAAAATTTAACTTACAGGAGAAAGACCAAATGAGTTGATTTTAACTGTGATATGTAATTGTTGCTGCAGGCTCTGATGAAGATGGATTGCCAAGGGTTAGTAACACATCTCATCCAAGAGGCTGCTATTCTGACTTCAGCTGTCAAGCTTGGAAAAGGCTGGAGGGAACTAGGTGAAAAGTTAGTACGACTCACAAAGCAACAGATGGAGGCATACGAAATTCCTCACCGAGGAAAAGCTGGAGATGTTACTGTTGAGGTAAGATTTCTGTTTGTTTAATTAGATAGTAAAAAATTACAGACCAAGTAAATGAAATGTAATCAAGCCTGTACCACATACATGGATTAATTGAGGGAGTGTCCTAGAGGATCCACTAACTAAAGTCACTGCCCCCATAACCATCAACATTATCTGAAATATACACACATCGCTCTTTAAAGGCATCGAGAGCCTTTAAAATACATTGATGTTTCTCCTATTGGATTGCATATTAACATGGTCTTTGATCAAATAATTGGACCAAATTGGATAGCTAGGCAGTCAGTAAGTAGGGCCATAAGAACTTGAGGCAGGGAACAGATAAACTTTGAAGGGAGGAAATGGGGCCAAATCAGAACAAAGGAAGACGATATAATAATAAGTATTTATCAGCCTCAGTCACAGACTTAGTCATTTGTAATAAATAATGTTTGGTGGCAAGCATTATGGAAGTGGATGGTGCAGGGTTACTGGCAATGAGAGCTAGAAATATCTAAGAGCTTCATTATCTCTTTCACAATTTTGTACACAGTAAGAACTATAGACATCAGATACAGAATAACAACACTTAGTACAAAGTAAATATTAACCATGCAAATATTTTTTATTAATATTAAAACAAATGTATATTGGTGGGCCTAAGTTAAATAAATATTTTTTCAATTTATCATAAAGAAAGTGAATCCATTTTTATTGACTTAAATAAAGTATTCCAGTGATGAGAACATATAAAATGTCCTGTATCTTTCTCTTACATGAGTGAAAGCATTTTCAAGATATTTCAGTTAAGGAAAGGTGATCTCTCTGATTAGATGATGCCTTGGTAGGAGGCAGAAGCTATGTTCCCCACTTCCTATTTGGGCATAGAGCTGGGTTTTAGTTTCTTGAGAAAATTTTCTTATTTTGAAGCAACTATGCCAGCTGGATGAGCAGAACAAGACAACTGTTCCATGAAGCTTGAAGAGTCAAATCAAGTCAGTTGGATCCCAGCAGCTGCAGTGGAAGCTTCAGGGTTCCCGGAGCCTGGCTCTCCAGCAAAGACTTCTCTAAACAGACTCTTTAGCCAAGAGCATCCAGGACCTATTTCCCCTTATAGATTACTTCTCCCTTCTAGACTACATTGATCTCCATACACTAAAAAGGACATTACAATCTACAAATGAGTTTTTACTGAATGAGCTAAAGGACAACAAACCTTTAAGAAGGAAAAAAGACAACATTATGAGGGATATACTACTCTGATATTTCAGTGAAATTGATTAAAAAGTTGCCTAATTGAGATACCACCACCTATCAGAATGGCCAAAATCCAGAACACCGATGACACCAAATGCTGTCGAGGATGTGGAACGATAAGAACTCTCTTTCATTGCTGGTGGGATGCAAAATGGTAATGGCCACTTTGGAGGGCACTTCCAAAACATACTCTTAGCATATGATCACTCAATCACAGTCCTTGGTATTTACCCAAAAGAGTTGAAAACTTTTGTCCACACAAGATGTCCTTCTGTAGGTGTATGGGTAAATACACTGGTGCATCCAAACAATGGAATATTATTCAGTGCTAAAAAGAAATGACCTACCAAGCCATGAAAAGACATGGAAGAACTTTAAATGCCTATTACTAAGTGAAAGAAGCCAATCTGAAAAAAGCTTCACACTGTATGATACCAAATATATGACATTCTGGAAAAGACAAAACTATAGAGATAGTGAAGGGATCAGTGGTAGCCAGGTGTCAGGAGGGAGAAATGAATAAGCAGAGCGCAGAGGATTTTTAGGGCAGTGAAAATACTCAGTGTAGTATCATAGTGATGGATATATGTCATTATACATTTGTCTAAACCCATAGCACATACAACACCAAGGGTGAACCCAAGGTGAACTATGCACTTTAGATAATTATAATGTATCATTGTAGATTCATCAACTGTAACAAATGTACCCCTCAGATGGAGGCTGCTGATAATGGGGTAAGCTATGCATATGTATGAGTAGGAGATATATGGAAAATCTCTGTACTTTCCTCTCAATTTTGCTGTGAACCTAAAACTACTCTAAAAATAATTCTTTTACAAAAAGTTGCCTAATTGAAAGCCAGACTTTTTTTTTCTTAATAAGTCTTTGTTTTTAAAAAGCTTTTCTTGAGAATTATTTACCAGAGAGTTATTTATTCTCTCAGGTTTGTTAAGCATCTAACTTCTCTCTGATTGTGATTGTTTATATTTTGTCTTCCTCCCAAATCTTGACAGAAGCCAACAAACAGCCTACTTTTCCATTATTCACTTTTTGTACAGTCCAAATCACAAATGACGAAGTCTATGTCTGAGTTCGATAAAATACTCAGAAGCAGGAAGGAAAATCCCTGAGTGTCTTTCTAGAGGTTATCAATTTACTGTGGCTAAGGCTAACAGTCATCACTCTGATCCATGTTATTAAATGCTTAGACAATTATGCATGATATATGGGCCTAAAGCCATTCCCAATAACCTAGGGCAGTCTTTACCTGTTAGAGGCCACTTAAACCAAAGGGTAAATGTATGCTAATTTTTGTCCCCCTGGGAAAAACAAAAAACAAAAAACAGCTTTACAATTATTTTTCTCTCAGGAAGGAGCTGATTTTCCAATACGATCAATTTACAAGTCAAGAAATGATTTCAAAACATGCTGATATTAGTTCCGGGTAGGGCATGCAGAGGGAGGGAACCAGCATTGGGGCAGGGAGTTAACGAGGCCTGGTGGTTCCCATGCAGCTTCGGTTTCCCTTACCTCACTTCTCAGAGGGCACACTTCCCAACAATCCTCTCTATGTGTGCCAACGTCTACAGTCGGGCTCTTTCACTCACTTTCCTTCTTCTTCAATTTCTCCCTTTTCCTTTTGTTCTATTTTTATTCTATCTCAAGGACAGTTATCCAGCACTTATTGTCGGCCAGACACTGTTCCAAGAACATCACAAAAATTAACTTTATATAGTCCTTTCAACAAAAGCTTCTGGGGCAGATACTAATACTTACTATCTAAGATGTAGAGAGGCTAAGGAACTTGCTTAAACATATATAGCTAGGAAGTCATGGAACCAGGTTTGGAGCATAGGCTTTGGTTTGGGGGCCCTTGTACTTTAACTATTATACTCTGCCCACCCATGCCAAATCCACCATGGGCACTGAGTGGCAGAGCCAGATGTGGTCAGTACTGGGGGGTAGGGAACTCATTTCACTTTTTCTTTTTCTTTTTTCAAGCCATCATATGATACTACCAAAATTTGCCTTTGCATTTTCATTAAGCTTCAATCCAATTAAAGAATACAGATTATTAATAGTATGTCAGATTTTTCTTGAGTACTTTTGGCCATTTCTTATTCTTTTATAAGGTGAAAAAGAAAAGCTTCTCTCCGGGGGTGCCTGGGTGGCTCAGTTGGTTGGGGGCCTTTGGCTCAGGTCATGATCCCAAGGTCCTGGGATCGGGTCCCGCATCCTGCTCTCTGCTCAGCGGGAAGCCTGCTTCTCCCTCTTCCTCTGCCTGCCGCTCCCCCTGCTTGTGCTCTCTCTCTCTCTCCCTGTCAAATAAATAAATAAAAATCTTTTTAAAAATAGTGAAAAAAGAAAAGCTTCTTTCTGGAGACTACTAAGAGGTCACTTTTCAAACTATCTCCCTAAGTTAAAAGAAATGTTACTCAACTTTTCTAATGAAATTGCATTTCCCATGTAAAAGCAAAGCAACAAAACTTGGAATCTGATTCTAAGGGAAATATGTTTGTCAGAGTATTTCTTTTGAAAAGAAAATACATTTATGCTATACTAAGATATTTAATCATTGCCAAGGTTTTCCTGTGAAAGTTAATGAAAATTCATTGGAGTTTTTCTGAAGATATTTAGAGCTTTAATTCAAAAAAACAGAATCAACAGAATACTAGAAAAATAGCCTGTTTAAAAAAAATTGGATTTTACAAGGGGAAATGCTTTTACTTCAGGGCTAAGATATTCTCAGACCTAAAGTGAATACTCTTTACCTATCCTTCTGGGGATTAATAGTATATATGATACATTTCCGAGCAACTGTCTTCCATTGGCCCCTACCTAACAATAAAGAATATGCTTTCTCCATCTTATTTAATAAGGGCACTTATTTAACAAGGACACTAAAAGGTCACTTATTCTAATCAAATTTCCTTCTACCCCACTGGGGTCCACCTCAACCACAGGCACAAATAAGGACTGTCAAGGCTGATTTCTTTTTTTTTTTTAAAGATTTTATTTATTTATTTGACAGAGAGAGACACAGTGAGAGAGGGAACACAAGCAGGGGGAGTGGGAGAGGGAGAAGCAGGCTTCCGCTGAGCAGGGAGCCCGATGTGGGACTAGGTCCCAGGACCTTGGGATCATGACCTGAGCTGAAGGCAGACGCTTAACGACTGAGCCACCCAGGCACCCTCAAGGCTGATTTCTTTTTTTTTTTTTTTAAAGATTTTATTTATTTATTTGACAGAGAGAGACACAGCGAGAGAAGGAACATAAGCAGGGGGAGAGGCAGAGGGAGAAGCAGGCTCCCCGCTGAGCAGGGAGCCCGATGTGGGACTCGATCCAAGGACCCTGGGATCATGACCTGAGCCGAAGGCAGACGCTTAACCGACTGAGCCACCCAGGCGCCCTCAAGGCTGATTTCTTATCTGACCTGCCAGAATGGGCCACCCTAACTATGGAAGCCTAAGGAAGTCAACGTTGCTAATTATATTTTCACATCAGAAGCTACTCACCTACAGAGTTATGACTGGCTTGGTGTGTTTATAAGTCTTTTTGTAGTCAACATTCAGTCAATGAGGATTTGATTTTCTGTTTTATCTTCTAGCCTTAACTTTGTCCCTCCTTATTTTTTACTGGCAGCTATAGTGTTCCAAGCACTTTATTGTAAGTCTAGATTTAAAATGACAAAGTAGGTATTCCTCAAACAGCTAATTTTATGTATTTTTATACATGAATAAAAATTATATATGGAATTCTTC